AAAAGATCACCTTTTCTTTTCGTTGCACGCATACAATTCATTTTGTTTAGATTTGATTTTTTTTTTTTCAATTTGATATTCTTTCTACGTTTTTAAATAATTATCGTGAGTGTTACAGGCGTTATAGAAAATCTGTTTATTATACACGTACAATAACTTGTGTTTTACGAGTATATATTTATATATAACATTTATCTTCTGTTTATAATATATTTACAACCTAACAGACTTTTGAATAATTAACTTTGTTGACACAATGTATAATATCGATTATTTTTACTCCAGTGTTATACGTTTGAATCGCATGTTACATGTTTAGCAGCGAATACGGTAAAAGCGTTCCGAGTGTTACTACTTTAAATATAATTTTCACATTTTATATTGTTGGCACGTCCAGAAATTCTATTTTTCATTTCTAAATAGTATTCCAAATAGTTAAGAAAAACCGACGGATATTTTTCAAAAAAATAAAACATTTACGGAGTATTGGTTTTCGATAAAATTGAATTCTTTTCTTCTCCTTAATCAAACAATAATAACTGTAAAAAATTGACAATTTTACTGAATGTTAATATCATCATTATTTAGAGATGATTTTCAAAAGGTTATGTGTTTTTTTTTCTTTGTATCAAATACAGTTTTCGTTTTAAAACAAATAATATTGCTGTGGGCGTTAAAACCATAAATATGACATTGACTACGAAACGAATAAAAATTTTAAAATAACTAGCCAACGTATCGAATTATAAAATCCAGTGACAATCAATGTCTTTAGTATGAGTTCATTATAGATAACAACTAACTTATTCTAGCATTATTCGAGTTGACTAATTATCATTGCTGAATTTACTATATGAACGTTGACACACGCACATACATAAGAAATATACACACACGCATATATAAGCAAGTACTAAAATTTATCGGGTTTTATTTATTTTTTTTCGTTTATCGAACAAATATTATTATTTGATATTATACCCCGAACAAGTTAGTTAATAAGAAGTAGATCGTTCCGTTCCTAAATGGATTAACGATCGAAGTTCCACATCGAGTAGATATACTACTTATCACTGTACCAATAATTTAATAATATCGATACTAATTCGTAATAGGTACACGTAATATAAATTAACAACGTCCGTTCGGTCTTGGTAAATAATTCTAATATCGCAACGAAATTTGACGTCGATTACGGTCGCAGACCATATTCACTTTATATTCGGCGGTACTTCGAAAAGCGTGCGCGTCACAGACGTCGAAACAGAACGTTGAAAAGCTGTTTCCAACACGAATGATATTGCGTTATTGTATTCCGGTGATTACAACAGTACTCGGAATAAACGGGCTTTCCTTCTCGAGCTGTGTATATTATTTTATGAACGTGCGAACAGCGTCGTGTTTTGAACGTGCATTTATACCACAAAGCGTACGGAGAACAATCGATAACACCTGCAGAGCATACATTAAGACACATCGTAACACCGCGCCCTGCAACTGCTACCGTTGATGTGGCTGTTCAATGTAATTTGCACAGTTTTCGATTACGAAATCTCGAAAGAAAAAAAAAAACCCCCCGTTCAAAGACGTCGTGTTGCACGCGCTCACGATTAATTAATCAAAAGCGAATAAGACAATGCGTGACGAATGCGGCAACGGTTCGCGTTCGGCATACACTTTCAAAATAAAAAAAATAAAAAAAAATAAAAAAAACACGCGACTGATTATTAACACCTCTCCGGTTGATCGGTGTTTCGCTCCGCGGCAATTTCGTCTTGTGTACACGATCAAATCAAACTTTGTTCGACAGAGAAAAATATCACGTTCACGCAGGCACACTCCAAATCGTTAACTTTTCGCGTGCCGCCGATTTTCCGCACGCTACAGTCTGCTCGAAAATAACGATAAGTATTGATTTCGGAAAATACCGTTGCCCGCACACACGTATTCTATACCTGCCGTACACCATCGCTCAAAACAATAATTGTTTCCGAAAAAACCGTCCGTACATACATACTCGTACGTTATCGGATACGTGACAAGTAAACAATTATTATCAACCTACATGATGCGTACACAGCTGCAATTATCGGGCCTCGGGGCAACGCACTAATTCGATTTTAAATCGGTAATCCTTTTCCTGAAACTGAAAACATAGCAAGTTGAACGTTTTCCGCGCGCGTAATGTTACGATAAATCGATTGTAAACAGTTGTCACGTCTTTTGTGGTTTTTAAACGTCTATAATTACTCGCAAAAAAAAACATTGTACTTGTTCGTTGAAAACACACACCCGTGTACATATAAACGTATATTAGAACATTTCGTAATTGATAGATCTATCTACGAGCTGTAAAACCGACTGCGTTCAACAAATTTGTTTTATTGAAACACGTGGAGCGCGGTTAATCTAATAAAGCCCATACACGGTCAATAATATTGATATTTATATCAATAAATGTTTTAATAAATTATTCAATTTTTGTGGTACACAAACAATCAATAGTATCCATCAATATATTGTTCAGTTTCGTTCAGAATGTCTAGCAAAGAGAACGTGATTGTTACTATTACTTTTGTCATGTTACATGGCGAAAAAATATAATTTCATTTCTTCTTAATTTCGTCCAATGTAGACGTTAAAAATTGTATTGATATTTTTTCAATAAAACATCATATGCAAAATATTTCTTTGTTTTGTCCATATATTCATCACTTTATACTTCACACAATGCAAAATGATTCCAGTAAACTTCAATGCATTCTAAAATAAAATTTCGTTCCTTGTTTCTGTCAAAAAAAGTTATTACGATTTAAATGATTTATTCGAAGACACGCATTTGTCATTGTAGCACATTTAGAAACTATACTAACGTTACATTGACAATAGTATTAGTAATTGCTCCTGTGACACAATAATATTGACTATCTATCAATAAATATCAAAATAATTTTGATTGGTTCAATATATTGAATAGATCTCCGATACAACCCACAAACGATCAATATCATTGCCAATATCAAATATTATTTTTCTTTTTTTGACAGTAGGTTTTCTGTTTGCAGCGTCCAGACGCGCAACGTTCGCCTGTGTTTTCTCTGCCGCAGTCGTTTTAGTTGAGTACGAAATGGAGTGTTGCATATTTCAAAGTATAAGTGCTATTTTGTTTTTTAAGTCTTTTTCAGTTCATAAAAGGAACCTAATTAGGTTCAGTAGTATGTATTATTTATGCTTGCAATTAATTCATGTTGATTAACTAATTCTTATTCGTATGGCATAAGTTATACGAGGGCTATTCAGAAAGTAAGGAACGTCTTGGAATGTAAAAAAACCAAGTACAAGAAAAACATTGTATTACATACATGTAAAAGAGAGACTAATATACTACTTTTCTACGGTCACCATACAAATTCAGACACTTATCATAGCGGGATACAAGCTTTGAAATTCCTGTGTCATAGAATTCTGTCGCCTGTGCTATCTTCCTTGGCGACAATCATGGCAATAGTGTTCTGAGACAGGCAAAGTGTTCTTTTTATTGATTTTCTCGAGCGTGGTGGAACAATTAGCTCTGAGAGGTACTGCCAAACATTGCAAAACCTTTGGAGAGCTATCCAAAACAAGCGCCGCGGAAAGTTGTCATCCAAAATTTTGTTTTTGCATGACAACGCCCGACCGTACACTGCAAACCTTACGCAAAAACTCTTAAACTCATTCAACTGGAAAATTTTTCCTCATCCCCACTACAGTTCTGATCTTGCTTTTAATTTTAAGGATTTTGCTTTTATTTAAGGCGCTTACATGACTATTTTTAAAAGATCATATTATAGCGCTTATAACATATAATAAAAGCCTATAAGTTAAGCGCCCTGCTCATTACCGTTACGTTACGTTTGCCAATGAAAAAAAATACGCGACGCAAGTTCATAACCGTGCGATCGTTTTCACTTGATGTTATTGACAAAATAATTGATACGGCAGCTCTATCTACGACGATGTGCGTGCGTTCGGATGTATCTCGTTCTAACGTGATTTAAGCCACTAGAGCGCGGTATCCCATACAGTAAACCTACTAGCGGTTTCCATTGAGATCGTTTCGTAAAAGTTACGCGCTCTACGATTTCAGTGTAAAATGATAATGTGAATCACGCGTAAGTTATAGACGTTGTTGGCTGTATGTTGCGACAAACTACGAAAAGAAAAAAAAAAAGGGAGGAAAAATACGTAATATTACGAACCAAAAAATCCAAAAATCTCCGCTTGTACCTCGAAGATTATTTTATAAACCGTTTTATAGAAATTTGCAAGTTTGACCAGCTCCATCCGCTTTTCATGTACTCGACTTACCTAAATAAATCTAAAACTTCAACATTTGTGTCTAAAAATATTTTATAATTTGCTAAACCCAGAATACATGATAGTTGTCACTCATTAGTCGTAATCTTATAACCAATCATATAATGTATATTTAATTTTATAATTATATAAAGAAAAAATAATTTAATTTTGAAAGAAAAAAAATCATGAAGGAAAAATGTGTATTATATCAGAACGCATTATCTATAAAAAAATTATTTATTTACCAATAATCGATGAAACCACCGTCTCATCAATCTTTCGTATTAAATTATTATCTGATCATTTATAGACATCAAATAATCATGGAAACTCGTAATAGTGGATAAATCAACTTTATTTTAATTAATCGTCTGCAATAAGAATACAAATTTATAATAATAATAAATTTAAAATTTATAAACGTTTTGGTTGGCGTCCATCAAATTTTTTTTTTATTTAACATACATATACATATGGCAATATTTTAAAAATAACTATTTATTAAGATTACAATATTCAGAAAATAAATATTAAAATATAATTAATAACTCAGTCAGCTGATATGTATTTACACTAAAATAATATCACTAAAAAACTAAAAAATAAATAAATAAAATAATATACAATATAAGAACTAAATAATTATAATATTTGCATAAATTTCATGTAAAAATTACTTCGTCCGGTTCACTTTTTATTTCTGTGAAATATTCATCTTTGACAATCGTTATCTCGGCTAAAAAATCAAAAATCAATTTAAACGTCATGGATAATATTATTTCTGCGGCAGTAGTTGGATTAGACTACAAATATGAGAGTATTATGTACGTAAAAAGGGCTGCGTATTTAATGATTTTGCAAATTAATCTACTTCTACATATTCTTACTTAAAAGTTTTGGCCTTCAAGACCATCACTACAAAGAAATTTTCAAATTAATATATATTTTATTCAAACATCAAATCTAGTATGGTATAAATCTGATTTAAGTAATATCCATTTAAAGCATTAACTGTGATTCCGCACGCGTATGTATAATTTGAACAGTGGATGTTAATAATATTTGTAATACAATTTTATATTTCATTAAAGTGTTATATTTTTTTATGAGAATTTTGATGTAAATTTTTTTTTTTAAACTTTTTATTTGCGTTTCTAATAGATTATGGCTTAATCATTATAATTTATAATCAGCAAGGACTGTATAAGACACGTTTAAAAACATATACATTATGCTAAATATATAGCTGATTATCTTAGCATACAATATTATTATTATAATTAAATATTGAAATACTCTGATAATAATAAAAACCAAAATATTGCTTGATAGCTGATAACTATAGTTCGATATAACAAGAAAAATAAGAATACAATTGCAAGAATATCAAATTTAATTTAATTTAAAATAGTATTAACGTGAAAAAATTCGATAGCTACGTAACAGGACGGTGTAATATGTTACAATACAAAGGCTGTACGAAACTAAAATAAAAAATAAATCAATAATTGAAAAATAATAAAAATAACTGCCTGCAAAACTAAAAATTTGAAATTCGAAAATACACGCATATGGATTGTCTTCTCATTAATTAAAAATTTTGAACAAATGTTCGAAAGTATTCAACATTTTGTCTAAAGTTTTTTATTTTTTTTTTAAATCATTGTAAAATATATGCCATTCTTCAAATACTACATTTAAAATAAACACCGATCAAGTATTTTCAATTAACAGGGGTGTACATTCAATTACCATATGAGGGGGAATTAAATTACATATATACATATTTTTCATGTTAATATCAAACGCCTATTTCTATACCTCCTTGGAAGAAAAAGGTATGTTTTTTTGATTCCATCGTAATGGAAAAATACTAAATTTATACTCACATTAAATATTCATGACGTATATATTTTTCATTCTAACCATTTCAAAACTGGATTTTTTCCCCAGCCTTCCCCCTCCACCATTTGTACACAGCTAGAAACAAATCACGGCTTATGGTAACTAACCCTCTAATGAATTAACATACTGGACCATGTACCTATGTTGTATTTTCAATGATTGTTATATTCTCCAGCGGGCATATACAAATAATATCAAATCGAATCAACTCTCTCATTTCCATTACAATTTCCCTTATTTTTCTACTTACGATTACTGCCTACACATTAATCAGATAGTCGAAACACAAGACACAGATACACATAAAAACCGGTTTTTAGTAGAAATATTGTAATATTTACAGATATTTAAAAGTATCAATTAAAAATATAAAAACTAAAAAAAAAATTCTTAATCGATTTATATACCCCATAGATCCGCAATTCTCAATCGTATAGTATAATAAGCTAACGACATCGGATTAAAGATACACACAAATTTACGTATGATTAACAATAAATCGGCGAAGGAAAAAAAAAGCTTATTCAGACAGGCTATGAGGCATGTACAGACGTAGTGATTACAGGTACAATTTCTGTCGATGTAGAATATTTTTCTACGAACGTGCAATACCAAGACGACAACCACATGCCGTACATAATCTTTCCGTGGATTTTATAGTAAATATTTTATTGTTATGCCAAGCTTAAAAAATGAATAGATCAATGTCATCGGATATCGAAAATTAATCGAAGAGTGCAAATAAATCGTCGCAGATAAAAAAAAACTCTTTTACATTACTGGCGTCGCCCAATAGAGTACACTAATAATAAAACATAAAATATTGAATACGATTTGTGGTGTAAGTACAAGACATATTTTTATTATTATATTCTACATCTACAGAAATACTTAAGTTTAGTAACAAAATAATAATTGATTTCGGATAATTTTAGAATCACATTTAGATATTTGTGCTTGATACTTATTCCAAGATATTTCTAAGATACAAAATTAAACTCATTTTATTGAAAAGTAATGATAATTTCATTAAATTATTTTTTAATTGAACAAAAATGAATATCTGTAATTACCGATAAATCAAAAATAACTTTACTTACTTTTATGGAGGGAAATTTGTTATACGGGATGGTCTTAAAGGCCGAAAAACAAAAAAAAAAATTTTACATTTAATTAAATGTATTCGAAGTTCTCGTGTCGAAACGTTTTGTTTACAAACACCAACATTTATATCGGTGTTGTATTCGAATTTCAAAAATATTAATCAAATTTTTATAAATACTATTAAATTAGTATTATACTATTATTATTATTACTATTATACTATTTAATATTAATATTGTTTACAATAACATTTTCAGAATTTTATTCGAAGTAATAAATAATTTAACATGAGTATTATCATATTGTAATAGATGTGATATAATATATCTCATAATAAACATATTAATTTCCCATTATTCATTAGTCTTTTGTTCGAGAAGCATCAGACTAATACTATATTAATGTTTGAAACATGCATGCAAATGAGCTTAAGTTACCAAAAAGTAACTACGATATTCTTATTCGTATAAATTTCAAATTCTACTTACGAAATAAGTTCATGTCTTCAATATCACTATTAATTTCAGTTTCAATTTGCATAATTCCTAAAGACTCTTGTTGATTTGTCGAAAATGATTGACATGCTTGTATTGTATCTTTTTTGACATCTAAAATATAAATTTAATTGATTACATTAAATACATCCCAGTACTGTAAATAATGAACAAATTTAAATATATTAGTCTTCAATTTCGATCTTTTTAAATTTAATGATCGTTTGAGGTCTGATTTACATTTCACAGAAGAATCTTCATCGCTAGGATCTTTAACTTTCAATATGGGTTTCTTTTGTAGACCTAATAAAATAAATAAGAATATCATATTGTACTATACATAATAAGTATTTTTCACTTATTTGTCCTCTTATAGCACATATGATACAATTATATAATGCACCTTGGTAAAACGTATTTCTTCCCCGTATTACACGTACAATTATTTGTTTATTTCAAATTTTAAGACTTATAAACTATCATGAACAATTTTTGGTGCTCTTCTATGGCACGAATTTAATGATATCACTTATGATTTGAGTAAATAAACAGATGATTTTTTTTTTTATGTTTTGTAACCAAAGAAATTCATTTGTATAGGAGTATAACATTTATTTGAAACTATTACCATGAAAACATCAAGAGTTTCTAAATGTCTAAGACTAAGTGGAATATACCTCCAAAAACCCCATTGCTGAGGAAGAATCCTTCTAGTATTATTTTCACCCCGTGTAAATAACGATTCGTCGATTCCCACTGTTAATTTTGGTAAAAAGCATATCGCACTTTCTTCGTCATTACACACCGAACACAACATATCGTAGTTGAAACGAACCATGGTCGATCAGGGAACTGACAGTTTGTGATGAATCGTGACAACATCGAAATAATTATAATCTAGCTCGATTACGGAATTTCGGTTATTTACCGACCGCCGCCACCGACCGTTAGAGTAGGTACAATAATCAGCTGCATACTAGTTGCGTCCCAAAGATATCAACGAAAAAAGCTCTAATCCGAATTGCGGCCCGAATTCATTTTTGGTACAGACGAGTTGCGGCCCGGGTTTTCTAACTATAGATAATTTAATCTTGACTGATAAAATATTTTGTGAGGCTTTTCATTCGAAATTCAACGCTTTGTTCTACAGTGCTCATCCTAATATTTTTGTATTCATCGATGTTCTGAAAAATGCACAGAAGGATACCAATATAAAATTAAGAAGCCGTAACTTAAATTTTCACAGAACAATTATCATTGAAAAAGAAACATTTATTAGAAATGCTATGAAACGGTTAGAAGAAAACCAAATTGACAAATTTGAATTTATACATCATACAAGTCTTTACCAGTGTCATAATACCTACGAATTTTACTAAATTATACTAACATTTTTAACTTCAATAAATATCATATACGTTTTTACCAGTGCTGAAATTTTTTAATAAAAACAATACATTTTAATATCAGATTTTAATGTCAAAAAAACTTTTTAACCATAAAAAATATCATATATGTTTTTACCAGTGCCAAAATGTTTAAATAACCTAACTACAGGATCTAATAAATATGAAGGAAAATGAAGCTTTTTAAATTTAAATTTTGGGCCGCAATTCGTATGCACCCCAAAAAAACTCGGGCCGTAATTCAGAAGTAATTTTTACCGCGCGACGCAACTAGTAGCCACCCCAATAATCGAAAAGTATCCAATTTTTTAGTATAACTAATGTGATAAAAATATAATGATAAAATATTACCACACTATTATTTGTTACTTTTGTGCACCAATAATAATAATTAAAATTAAAATACAACTCTTAAATATTGTACCTCGTGTCATCCACGTTTTTTAATCAAATTTGATAATTATTTTATTATATTATCATCATTAATATAAAAAATAATAATTGTTTTGATAAATTATTAAAAGGTTTAAATCATTATAAATCAGCTCTCAACTTCCAGCTGTTACAATTATTAAAATTTAATTTAATTAATCTAAAGCCGAGTTCACACTTACAACATTCGCGCGTACCGCAACACCATATCGTAACTCCGCCGCGTAACTGTAACTTCTGTGTGAACATGAACGCGTAACAAGAAAGTTAAATATCAATTTTTGTAAATTTGTAAACAGAATATATTTTTTTCGTAAAATTTTGGTTTTTAATATTTCTCTTCTACGCGTGTTTTTTTTTTTTTTTTTTTTTAATAAATTAATTTTTAAATCAATATCGACTTGAATTTCCATTAATACTTGAATAACTAATAAAATATAAGATGAAATGTAATGTAAAATATAATACGAATGTAAGAATGGGAAGTATGCAATTGACTATTGAAGTATATGTGAAAATTTTCAGCTCCGTTCGTTATTTCTGGGTTATTGTCTAGTACACTAGCTTATAATTCTGGCCCAAAATCACTATATTTTTTTTAATATATAGTCTGAAAAATTCATTCTTATTGTTACATGGCACTATTGAAATTATTTTAGTAAATCCGTCCGGGACATTATTTGAGCTTAAATGTGATAAATCGGAAAAGTATAAGCCACCTTCTAATCTCAGAATCATTTTTCAGTTATTTTTTTAATAAACTTATATTTTTTTGTGACTCCCTGAGCCGACTTTGTCCTAACCTGATTGGAAACTACGATTGAAAATAAACGTTATGCTTTTAGAGTATACGGACATCCTGTACACCTAAAATTTTAACTAAAAGTTGGTTTTTATTGTTCACAATCTTGTGCGCAAACGAGTCTTCATCAATTTAAACAGTGGATGTTAACAATAATAATAATAATTGTACTACAATTTATACAAACAGTATATACACATAGTATATATTAACAGTTTACAGAGTATAGAAGGGAAATTGTAATTAAGAAAGACCGAGGACTTTATTTTCGAGCAAATAATCTCCAATGTTTGTCTTTTAAGTGATATGGAACGAAAGAGATTTTCTAAAAACAGGGAAGAGTTATGAGCGTGTGTCCGACTGCAAAACCAATTATATGTTTGAATATAAAAAGAGAACATATATAATAAACATAATTCAATCTTATTGTGGTGAGAAGGGCATGTACCTCAAAATGTTGACAACCTTTACTCAAGTGTTTGGGATTCATCAGACAAATATCAATCATAAAATACATTAATTCTTGAAATATGCATGCAAATAAGCTCAATCTACCAAAATATTACTATGGTAATCTCATTTTTATTAAATTATATTTTAACTTACAAAGTGATACTACGTTTTCGATCTTTAATACCTCATCTTTTTCCGGATTTGTCGAAGGGTGTTGTATTTTTTTTTCGTCGTTGTCTAAAATATTAATTAAATTAATTATATTTCAATAATACATAGATTTATACATACTAATTTCAAAATTCAATTTTTTTGAATTCACCGAGTGGTTATCCCTGGGTTCACGTTTTATAGTACAATTTTCCCCAGGATCTTCAACATTCATTTTGAATTCCATCTCTTGAGCTAGTCAAACAAATAAATTAATAAATCATACATAAACAAACTAATCTAATACCATTTATATATACTTATATAGTTATATATTTATATTTACATCGACTTTCGACTTCCAGCGATTTTAACGAATCTACTTCAGGATTGTCAAGTTTTACATGATCAATGTTACCACCGGTGTTTTCCTTGGAGTTTTCATAAATTATATTAAATACATCGAGTTTCCCGTAGTCAGTAAGAATATTTATTAAATGTCCAAAAGATGGATTATTAAGAACTTTTTTCTTCACTATTAATTGTAAACATTGAACTTTTTTCGGATGTTGTTTTTTATATTCTTCGTTTAGTGTGCGAACATCAAAATGTAAATTTTCGACCGCATTTTTAATAATTGTTTTAAAACATTTATTCTCGAGAGCTGACCATTTCAAGTGATTTTTATTACTCATTTCATTTTCATCACGGTTAATAAGAAAATTAACATTAAGGAATTTTTTTGCAAACTCTTTAACACGTATTTGATCTTTATTAACATTAACCTTAACTTTTGTTTCGTCGGGTGTAACTTTGGGTATTTTATAGCCTTTCAGCCAACTCAAATCACTATTACCTAATAAACTGCGTTTTACGTTTATTATCGATTCATCCATGCTGTTATTTAATCTATTAGCTTGAGCCCATCTGAAGTTGACTATAGCTTTTTGTGGTTTCGATCTGTCTAGTCTTGTATATTCTATTGAAGAAAAATATTTTTCATAACCGTATGGTATTGATTTTCTACTTGATTTTTTATTAAATCTATCCTTTGATTTTGCATTGTGTTCCATAGAAGTATTTTTATTTTTTGGTTCTGATGTTTTTGCTATGGATTCAAAATCAAAGTTTTCTAATATAGTATCGACTGTAATACCAACGCTGTTAATAAGTTGTTCGTGGTTTACTGATATTCTGTACGCATAACTTCTCGTGTTTGGATCAAAAATTTCTGTACTTTCGGGGCTTCCACGAAATGTCGCGGAACTTGGTGAGGAAATCGACTGTTAAAAAAATTTGAATCATGATTATAGTTATTATATATTTAATATATTAAAAATACTATTTAAATTACTTTTATCTAGCCTTAAAAAAATATAGATTATGGCCCAGTACTTAAAATATATATTTTTATTTTATTTTGGTAAAGTTAAATCATGATACATTTTAACAAGTGATATTTTTTCGAATACTCGATGAAATAATCAGTTAATAAATTTAATTTCGAATAGGGACATTTTCAAAATAAATATTTTAAATTTATAAATGAGCTCTTTATGCTTATACCAAATTATAAATTTTATTTTATTTTAACGAATTTCAACTTACCGCAAACAAACTGTAAATTGTATGTAGGTTATCCAATAATGTATAACATTCGTTTAATTTCGATCTTGTCAATCTGTAAAAAATATAGATTAATATACAATTTATTTAAAACTCAAATTTCTGTACATCGTGTTGGTTTTATTATTTACATTAACAATTTAATTATTAATCGTATGTATTTGGAAGTTTTATATAACTCATGTATTTATGTATTTAATGTGTTAATTTAATTCGAACCAAAAAAAAAAAAGTTGATACAAGGGGATAATTTTACTTTCCTGTATTTTTCGTTAAATGAGATGTTTTTTTTATATCAAGTAATAGAAAACATTAAAACAAAACATTTCAATTTGCCTGTGATTTGCTTATGCAAACCCGTTCTGCTAATATTCATATACTTAGATTTTCCACTTCCTTAGTTTTAAAAATATTTATTTTTTCTTTTAAGTTCAATTTTAATTTTTATTATTATTAATTTTAACGTAGATACAAGTTCACACTATGTTCTGCTCATAACCGAACCATTTGTCATTTTTCGAATAGGAAAACCATTAAGATAATATAAAATATGAACGAAATGTATAAAATATAAATATACTCTTTTTATTACTTAAACATTTTCAACATCATGTTTATATTAATTATTTTCGGTATTGTGTCCATTTATGAGAGGTATTTTTTAATTTTGGTACCAGTTTTTAGTATCCAAGTCAATTATTAGGAGTGTTCTTAATTAGAAGTTTATAACTCCTATTATATGCATACATTTTTATCGGGGAATTTAAAAGTGTCCACTATTGGGAAGGGTCCACTATTGATATGTGTCCATTAATAGATGTTTCATTGTAATACATTACCAATTGGATGCAACCATTCATGCCTAGATCATATATTTACTAAACTTAAATGTATTATATCTAATTGAATTCACAAATTTATTATTTATTAATAGCAATAAGCACTTAATTAGCTTGGTAATAAGCAAACTTAAATCACTGACCATTTTTCAACCTTAGTTTCTACGCTTACAAACAATAATTCCAATACATAAAATAATAATTTGTTTAACTAAATAAAATACGTTTGATCGAATATAAAATTAAAGGGATAATTATGAATAAAAATAGTCTGATATATACTTAAAACAAAATCGATGTTAACAAGTGTTGTAAAAGGTTCATAAAATGTATATAATTTAATTGATAAATGGGCGATACCTAAAGTAATAATTTCTAAAAAGAAGAAGCATTTTAAATAGTAGATGTCATCTGGTTTTTTTGATATTCTACTTCAGATGTTTCCAATCTATTTCAAATCGCGACTCCCAATTCTTTTTTTTTTTTAATGCGACCCCTACAAATAATACATAATAGAATATAAAAAATTTTTGAATACATGTATTTAAGTACGCGTCTGAAATATATACGTTTGAATTTAATATAATTCAGTAATTTTTTTTTTAATTAACTGAATTTCATATAGGATAATTAAAACTTAATTTAATTAATGATTTTAGTTTTCTTGACACTAATTTAGAATTATTTATAACCTATTATATCATGCATATGACTAAGTATAATATAAATATAATTAAATCGTTAGTTTTAGTTTTCGTGACACTAATACCTCAAATTGTACAAATTACGTATGGGGCAGACGATAATAATAAAAGTAATAACGGTGAATTATTTAATTTCGATTTAATTATCGTTTATTACGTAGCTAACAATATCTATAGTAAGAACATAGCCATCCCAAGGGGGGGGGGAATGGAGCAAGTTCCCTAGAGCATAAAACGTATTATGAATTTAGGGGGCATCATAAATATTAATGATAAGAAGAAAAATTAAGTTATTTATTTTAGATATGTAAGCATTTATTTTTCTTTTCTACTGAAATTTCTGGAACCTAAAAAATTTTACAATATAAATTATTAAATACGAAATTATATAAATAATGTGTTACATGTATAAATATTACAGTATGATAGAATATTATTGATAAATTAAAATGTTTAATAATAAGATCGTCAAGCGAGGACGATCTTCTACTGGCATGTTCTAGTTTCGTGGTCATGAAATAATTAAATATCGCTTGCTATTTCGAGCCAAAAATCGATTTTAAGTTTCGTTAATTTATACTTAGGATTTGATGGGTCTCATAGAATAAGACGCGCTATGTATAAATTAATTAGCGTGATACACTGATCGTCAGAGAAATCCATAATTTATAAATTAGTATTTAACTACCTATCAACTAGTTTACAAATAAATGTGGCACTAAAAAACAGTTGATTATTAAACCCTCAAATGCAGGTGAACACAAGCGAATCTGTTGTGACGAGCTGAATGACGTTCACACTGAATGTCATTTATTTTGATCTTGCCGCACCGAAGGCGAACGAATGATACAAATGGCCGTTCGTTTGCGTTCGGCGTACTGTTTACACCAGCCTAAGGCTGGGCGCACACCTAAAAAGCAAAACTGCTTCGAGCTGCGCGGAAAATTTTGTTCCAAATAGTTTGGAACAAATTCCATTCACACTGACAAAACAGAACAGAACAAGACAATAATTCTGGATTAATTTTTGTTTGTAAGTGGCCTATTTCTAATATTACTTTATTTTACTGTCGATTTAACATTATTATGTTTAGAGGTGAAAACTACTTGTTGTTTCCACCTTTGCCCTGAATTTCCTACATGCAGGCGTATTAATTTTTAGATTAGTTATTAAATTATTTTATTTTATCCATTTCCTGCACGTAGGCTTATTTACTAATATCCATACTAAATTATATTGATTGTTAAATATTGATTGTTAAATATTAATTATTAAATATTGATTATTAAATATGCTTAGCCTTGGACTTACTACAACATCTACGTATTTCAAAAAGTATAACGAAAAAATAATAAAACAAAAAAATTTCGATTTGATTGTAGGATAAAAATACGACTTTTGCATAATCGTACGCCCCTTTGCGATTCGCGCGTATTGGCGTAGGCACATTTCGCCATACCCTTACTTCGCCACTGACTAGTCGTAAAATAAACAAGTGACTTTGGTTTTCGTATTTTGCTCGGAGCAAAAATAGAACCCCGGACGGATCAAGACTGAACATGTTTTGTTTTGTTTTTTTATGTGTAGATGTTGACCGATTAGTGTGCACGCGTTAATTACTTAACACTGTTCTAATGATGTCCAAACTACTCCGAGATGATCCGAGCTGCTCGGAGCAGTTTTGCTCTATAAGTGTGCGCCTTAATCGTTAGTTAACCGAACTCGCGTTCGTTCGCGTGTAAACGCACCTTTATACATCGCATAGGACGTACTGCACTTAAGATAAAGTATAGTCAAAATATAAACATAATGACAGCAAAGATAAGATTAAATTACATTGGTTATCGCACGGATAAACGGTTATACGTCAACTGACCTTCGCCTAATTGTTTTAAATAACCGATGTGATGTTTCATTAATTCCATTTATTTTTAATTTTCTATTATACGGCCGGTCCGTCCCTGTAAATTTTGTTTCAATAATGCGATTGTATCAATTATCCGTGTTTCTAATAAGCGGTTTCTACAGAATTCAATTTTACATATTTTTACATACTTCTCCATAAGTACATGTTTATGTACACCTATTTCTCAATAATTCCATTTTTTCCTACATATTTCGACAATTTGTTCGTATACAATTACTTAACAGGGGCGTCATTTAAAAGGGGGCAGACTATGGCAAATACCTCACTCTAAAGAATTTTTAAAAAGTCGGCAATTTTTTGTCCAGTAATCAAATGCTAAAATCGGTAAATAGTAAACTTTTATTTTCTATTTTGTACTCAGAAATCAGATAATATTCTCTTTTACATACACGTTTACGGTTTATTAAAAGTTGGGAAATATTGACTCCTCCCCGGTTTATGATAATCGTTACTATGCAAACCTTATAAACTTTATTTTTGGTATACTATATATATTTCTAATGTGATCTTTATAAAACAGTTTTCATCATTGTATATACCATAAAAATTGAGCTCATAATCTATAAAAAAAAGTTAAGATCATACTTATTCACCCCAAACTACAGTACATAATATTTGAGATACAATTTTGTTTCTATAAATAAGTTCTATAGAGTATTAAATATACAAATAATAAAATTATAAGTATTTAATTAATTAGATTTATATTATTATTCCATTAAACCTATTGATAGGTAACAAACTCATAGCCTTTAGGATAAGTAAATAAATTAATGTTTTACTATCTTTAATGTTATTATTTAATTGGGTAAATTGAGACGTTTCATGTTTATCATCATTTGTTTATCATCATGACATCATTATTCATTACTAATCTTTACATATTTTGTTCCGAAAAAATATTTTATTGATAGTCTATAAATATGATAGTCCATAAATATTAAATACGAGTATTTAAATATATAAGTAACTATAATTTTTTTAAATATTATGAAGTCGACAAATTTAATCAGTTACCCCACCCTTTCAAAAGTTGAAATGACGTCCCTACTTGTATACGATTGTATTTTTCAATGCAGACAATTTCCCATGTTTCCAAAAGTACGTAAATAAAATAATAACAATAATTGAACTTAATTACGGTCGATATAAGTTCGAGATTTATTACATCGATAAACGATTGTTAATGATTTATTTATACGTGTATGTATTTGAAGTACTGACAGCAAGTCAATAGACCTAAATTAACGAACTTCGAAAAAATAAAATGTATTATGTCAGTACTTGATTCTACTTCAGCAGTTTCTATTCAAAAAGCGAGAAAACTATTAAACAAAGATGATATTAAAAATAAGTTAATCTATACATCTGTTAATTTTGGATTTTGGAGAATACAATAAAATAACTAGAAACAATAAAATTGACTTTAGTTCTAAGTTTAAAGAAACTGTAAAATTCACAGAATAGCTACAAGAACCATTGGTAGTGGCAGTAAAAGTAAAATATGCACAGTGTATTAAACAAAAATCTTGATTTACACTACCTAAAATTGATTAAAAACATCCACTGTGGTATAAATAGGGTAATATTGCAGACTATGGTAAGCGCGCTCATTTATATATTGCAAATATGAAATTTGCACCCATTACCCAGATTTGGACAAAAACAAATCAAAATAATTAATAAAAAATAAAATCATAAATAACTAATTATTTTGTGAATAAAGTAAAATATTTTATTTTAAATAGTTTTAGTAGTGAATGAAAAATAAAAATTACTGAAAAAATATATTAAATATATAGTAAATAATATCCAATTTTCGTGTAACAAAATTATGTAAAAAATATATTATTCATAACAAAACAAATAATTATAATAACAATAGTTTATATAATATTTATAATAATCATGAAAAAAATAGTAAATACTATACTAAATAAAATTTCCGTACTTATAATATATGGCTACAGTGCATTTTTTAACTAGTTAACTAGGCGACACAAATGTCGCCCAGTGATAATACTCTGTCGACCGTATTTTAAAAGATTGGGCGAAATAATACGAAACAAACTTGTAATACTATAATCGTACTATGATATTATACATTGATTATTTTGAGAAAAACATTTTTTTGTCGCCCAGTGAAAATTCCTTATAAAATGCACTGTTAGACTTTATTTAAAATTAATTACAAAAATGTTACGAAAGTAGAAAAACTCTATGAGCGGGTTAATAACATGTCGATATCGAGTGCTAAACCTTTGGATCATAATTATATGATCTAATGGTTTAGGACTCGATATGATCAAAGGCTAAACCCATTAGATTAGCCCCTCATGGATAAAAAAATAAATTTCAAATTAATGTTATAGGTTCTTAGTATGGAATACTAACTATATGAGCAGGGGGATATGTACAGGGGCGAATAGACATGATCTAACCGGGAAAAATATAATATAATGGTTCACATGATCATATCCAAGTTCCAACAAAACAATTACCTCAACTTTGAGGGAACCAACCTGTCAATCACTACCTCTTTTTTTTAGTAAAAATTGATGTAAATTTAATATTTCACTATAACAACCACATTTATTATTTTACTATATCACTATAATATAGTCGTATTATTATATTATTTTACCATACAACTTTATTTTATTATGTTATATTATATTACAGTAGTACCAAGGCCGTATCTAGTATTCGTGGGGGTCCAAAACATGTATTTCAACTTTTGATATTTGGTTAAAAATAAAACAGAAAAAGATTTAATCTTCTTTTGTTAAAATTAATATCGTATTTTCATATGATATTATGATATAAAATTAAAAGCAGTCAATGATTAATTGGGGTTTAAGTCATTTTTGACTGAAAATATTTATATTATTATTAAAATTAAATAAGTATTTTAAAAATTCGTGAAATATTGAAGAAATTTCGAGGGGGGGGGGTCCAGACACCCTGGACCACCCCCCAGATACGGCCTTGAGTAGTACGTATTGTACTAATTATAATTGTATAACTGTAAAAGATAACTTGACAGATTCACTTATATTCTAGTGGTTGTGCTGGTAAAATAAACAGTAACTAAAACTTTTAACTCGTATACATATATCAATAAATAAAAGTAAACATGTGGGTATATTTATAACCTTTGGATCAGGGGCGGATCCAGACTGAAATAACGAGGGGGTGATTTTTAACGGACACACATGATATAGATATTTATATAGATAAAATTAAAAATATTAATTTTTATATGGGTTATTTATTAATATAAAAAAAATCTTAAAAAAAAATTATACACAGTGAAACCACGATTTACCGTATTTCGATTATCCGTGCTCAGTCTTCCAAAATTATCGTCGCTCGAAATTGTTCGTCTGAAAATTTTAATTAAGTCGGACGAATTTTATATTATGTACAGATTATCGAAAAGCGTAAACGAACTTTTCAGCGATAAAAATATGTCACAGGTAGATATGAGTTATAATTAATAGAGTCTAATAGAAGTTCTTCAACAATCATATTTATCTAATCACGTTATAACTAATATATTTGGGAAATTTTCAAGTCTGTCGAATTTGTTTCATATTATTAGGTGTATTATTAGCATTTGCTATAACCGTTTCAAAAACAGTCATTGAGAAAATAATATCGTACACACTTAATATGGATATAAAATTATAAATTTTTTCATAATTCGTTTAATAAAACGTCTCGATTAACCGTGTTTTTCATTTTTCCGTGTGACCCTTCCCCACCATTGCCCTAGATAATCGAAGTTCTACTGTAGTAATAATAATAATAATAATAATTTTTTTTTAGTTATTCCAATGTGTCTCTTAACAATAGAGTTTATAAATTACAAATTTGTTGGTTATAGAGGTACCTAACGATTTTTACGTTGATCATCATCAGTTATCACGTTTCGGAAACACCGACCAACACAAAACTTGGTTACGAATATTTAACTATATCAGTATATCACCAAATAATAAATATAAGTGGTAACATAGTACCAGCATAAGTTGGTATAAAAAAAATTAGTTTAAGATTTCCCTATTTACCCTTGAAGTAATTACGGCAAAAACTAAAGTCTACTATGGTGAACGGGGGGGGGGGGATCGCCCCATTCGCCCCCTCTGGATCCGCCCCTGCTTTGGATCAATATCGTGTAGCGTATGATCAAAATATTATATTATAATTTACAAAAAACAATAATATAAATAGTTAATAACAATTATTATGATGTGTATAGTTTAAATTATAATACAAAAATGTACCTACTTGTTTAAACGACTAAACTCCAAAATATTCTATAGTAAAATATGCTAAATTCTAATCGATTTGTAGGTATGTAATATTACATAGGTACAATTGTACGTTGTACACAAGAAAGACAAAAGCAGAATGATGTAGTGAATAGTTGGAAATACATTATATGAAAAACGTACATCTGTATTCGATAATAATAATAATGATTTATATTGGTTGATGGCAATAATTGGATAACAGCAGAGGGTCACAAATAAGCACAAAAATAATACCCAAATTCCAAGATAAACACTAGGACGGTGGTCCTCGCAACTATTTTTCGATAGCTGATATAATTATATATCAATTATATATCTTATATAATGATGATGATATAATTAATAAGGTGGACTTCCCTACTGTTCAATCATACTATGATATTTATAGATTTAAGCTAGATTTAAATATTTATTATCAGTATTATTTTAATTTACCTTTATTTTTATGTATGTACAATAGTGTATCTATGTATAATAGTGTTAGTACTAATATTTTTCATCGATCCATTTTCGTCAATATAAGTAGCGGCCCTTCCCGGTGTTCCGGCTGCCCTATCCGCCCCTGGAGATGTACCACCCATTTTTCTTCAATATCAAATTTAAAAAAAAAAAACAAGGGCCCAAACGTGATCCTCCCCCCTCCCCGGTTATCCGACAGAAATGTTTTGTCTATGTGTCAAGGTGAAATCAATGTTGTTTATGGGAAAAAGTTCGTAATGGAAGTTGAAACGGAATCCTAAACATTTCGGTGTAATACTTTTTAAACAATTCGTACTCAAAAACGATGACTTTGTGCCAGATCAGATGTTACAGAACGTGACAGAACAGGAACAAAATATAAAAGTTTTGAAAATAAAGTATCCCAGTATACAAATCTTAACCATTGCTTATTCGTGTAATTACATAAACAATGTATTGTATCATAACAATGATGGTGAAACGGAACATTGAATTGATAAGGATGGTAACTTCGAATAAATCAAATAAAATGATAAACGCAAGGGTAAATCACGGTGCCGTTGTAGATCGTGTTTATAAATATTATAATAGTTCCTTCGGTGATGGGTGCACAAATAATGTTTATCATTATCGGAATAACGTAAAGCGGGTAAACTTACTTGTTTTTATTCATCATAACGAGCATAAACCGCAACATGTTTGCGTGGCGACAATCAATTCTCAGTCTCCGTGAATGGTTGATGATTTCTACCAATAACGGCTTCAGCTTTTGGAGTTTGAGCTTCAGTGCAGTGGCGCTTTTTCCGCTCATGATCGCGCGATTTAGAGAGGGGACAGTTGCTCCCTACGTCGAATAGAACAGGTGTGCGTGGACGTAAGACAGAGTGGGTCAAACTGTGATGGCGCTCGAAAACGATAAAAAAGGTTTCTAGTTCGAAGGGTCTGGCCGGCGTAGCCGAGATGTTAACTCGAGATTTACCTCAGACGTAAAACAGGTGGAATCGTTGAGCTCTTGACACGAAGACGAACGAATCTTGACTACCACGAAAGATATTACTCTACCGGACGATCACTGCAGCAATAATCCCTCAAGGTAGACGTACAACTGTGAAATAAACGACAACCAGTTATACACAATACAGCACAAAAATGTATACATAAATATAGCTATAAATTTCTAAATTAAAATTATCCAACCTTTAGTACTAATGCAATTTACAAAAACGTTAAGAATTAAATAAAAATAAAAATAAATAAACATTTCCGCATAAAATTGTCCCATGATAAAGTATCTAATATACCCATGGATTTATGAGTGTTTGAACGACGATTAACGCAAGGGCATATTTGAGGGGGGATGACGGAGGCATTCACCATTTTTATATTTTATTATATATTTATATATATATATTTTTTTTAATATAATACATTGATTTATTTAAAAAATGTAATGTATAAATAACTAAGAATATAAATTGCTAGTCTATTATTATAATAAGTTATCATTTTAACAGGAATATGAGCTGTAGGTAATGAACTGTAAATTATTTGTAAGTGTGTATTGAAGAAAAATTAGTTTCGCCCCCCCCCCCCCCCTCATGGTCACAACTCAAATACGTCTTTGGATTAACGATGTATACGTCCTGCGTAAACGCGATATCTGCCAGTAGATAAAGTGAATAAAAATTTACTTTGGTTTTGTAATGCAGCGCTGTTCAACGAGAGCCGAAAAAATATCGAACGAACATGAGAAAGAGAGAAAAGGTTGATGACAAGGGAGAAAGAGAGAGAAAATACATTAAATGGATATGTGAGAGAGACAGAGTAGAAGAAAAAATAAAATAAGATAAATAAAACAGGTGGAACCCCTGGGCTCTGGCACGAAGACGAACAAATCTCGACTACCACGAAAGATATTGCTTTACCGGACGGTCACAGCAGCAATAATCCCTCTCAAGTAAAGACGAACACCTGTGAAATAAACGAAAACGAAATAACAAGAATACATCGAATGAATATGAGAGAGAGAGAGAGAGAGGGGAGAAAGAAGATCGATGACGAGGGAAAAAGAGAGAGAAAAGACATCGAATAAACACGTGAGAGAGACAGAGTGGTAGAGAAAATAAAATAAAATAAATAAAACTGGTTTCGTCTCACGTCGTTCGCGTCTAAAAAGAATTTGTGTACCCAGTATATATTTCTACACTGAGTTTTAATTATCTAAATAAAGTTATGGTAAATTCTTTTGTATAAAACTGATTGTTACTTTGGTCTGAATGTCCCATTCCCATACAAATCAAGATTAAACCAATACCTATATCTGAATAAAATACCATGTTAACCAAAACACTCTTAGATATATGTACATTTTATACACTACTAATATAAATAATATAAGAGTAATATATTTTTTTTTTGTATAATATTATTTATTTATCATTCATAAATAGTTTTCTATTAAAAATGAAGAAAAATCGATTTTTTTTTTTTTATTTAGAATTACTGCTCCCTTAAATATATTAGGGTGGGGTGGCGGCTATTGCTTCCTCAAAACATTCCTTTAATACGACCCTGTCTAGTAGCACAATGAGCATGTGTGTTTTGAATAACGAACATGAATAATTTGATCGAAAAGTCACTCATTAACGATACTTAACTGATAATTTAACAGTAAATCGATTGAATTAATTTACTTATACAATTGTAATTCGTTTAAAAGTTTTGTAACGGCAGTCATTTAAAAATTATAAACGATTTTGTCCCGGCGAAAGGCAACGAGAACATTGTATATCATAACAAAGGTACGTATTGCTCACCGAAATCTCCGCGGGTGGAAATCGATATCGGTCGTGTTCATATGTTCGTCGACTGTTCGTCCTCGTTCCGAATGCAGATGGAAATATTGTCACTGGTCAGTGGTTCTCACGCGTGTATCGAACTCCAATTACCGTACCGGAGAAATGAAATAATAACGATAATAATAATGATAACAGTAACGATAATGTTCTGGTGCTTACGACGTGCACAAATACCGGATTGTTGAGCGCGAATCAGTGCGCGTAACAAAATAAGGAGGTGTGTGTGACGAACGTGTACGTATCCTCGGAAAGGTGACGCAGGAATAATACCCCGGAGATCTTGCCAGCGCGTGGTTTACGATTTCTTAAAGCACTGCGTTGGTGGGAGATAGAAATTGACGACGGTAGAGCCGGTTCTCTGGCCGGTGGAATGACGACAAGAGCAGCCGGTTGTTCTTTCGGCAGAGGGTTCGCGTCGCGGGATGTAAACCCCTAACCGCACACGGTCTTCAATAATATCACCGACCTCGGGTTAGTTTAACTGACGAGAAATAAATGTACAGATATTGACGCGCGTCCGGTATAAATTGTCTCCGCTAATCGTGCGAGAACGCTAAAGCGATTTTCGTGGGATAAATAATCACCGTCGACTAACGCGAACGTAAGTCGAATCGAACGAAATATTTTTGTTTTTTTCGACTCATTTTAGCGAAATATCGTTGCGCTAGGCACTGAGACCGGACCGAAAACAACCAGTTACGGACCCTATAATCTTGTGTAAATTAAAGAACCGAAAATAACCGTAACCTGTATTTTACATTTTTAAAAAACCTAATTAAAACCGAAAACCTTATAAAAAAAAACAACTAAAAATACTGGTTTTTTTAGGATTTTTTCGGTTTTCAAATAGTTAAGTAGAAATAAACTACTGTATTAGAAACTAAATAGTAACTTTTAAGCATTTAAACTAAAAATATATTGTTAGAAACAAAAATTATATTTTATATAATATTATAGCGTAGGTACTTGTAGTAAGTACGTAATGTTATTTTCGGCCGCGTCGTTCGTATGTCGGGGACCTTAACAGCCTACGACGATGGTCAACGATCGGTAGCAATAATATGAATTACACGAACATAAAAACTGATGTATATTACTATTATAACATTAATATTATTATTAATATTGTAATTATGTATGTATATAATGTATGTTACATGATAATGTCGATAACAGAAAATATATTGAATAAATTTAAGTTATTTTTACTTTTAAAAAAATAATGATGAGTTTTTTAAATGTTTAATATATAAAAATTATACACTAAACAGTATACACCATACGAAATATTGATTTGATTTTGTATAATATTAAAAATCTCTATTGATAATTAGAAATAATTTAAATATGATAATATTAGTTTAACTATTAAGCTAATTAAGTTAAAATTACTAAACAGTATATATTAGTTACTCCATTATATACCAATCTATATGTACATATATAGTATTTGTATTAATATTATATGAAATCCCGAAATTTAACATAAACATCTAAAAAAAAAATTTTAAAGACCCGAACCCTTACCGGAACTGTTAAAATCATTAAGGTCTTGGTCTCTGCATTGTGCAATATAACACATCCGTCTAACGAATATCCCAGTTCTACCCAAAACCAGCACGAAGTGAGCCGACCCACCGCACAGGACGATCAAACATTATCTAGAGGCGAAGGTTAAATGTATATGTGCGATGTGTAATAAAAGAAAAAGACATAATAAAT